CCTGCTCCCAAGGGCCCCACCACTTTTTATTTTTCCACCTCAATGACCTTGGGCTTACCAGGCAGGCCCTTAAGCCACTGAGCTAAATCCCCAGCCCGAGGCCCCACCTCTTAAAGACTCCTCTACCTCTGCAGCACCACATTGCAGGGGCTGAGCCTTTGGCAGTGGCATTTCCTATTCAAGATGCAAAAGACATTATGTGATAAGTCCAGGGCCGGAAGGTGCTCTCCTTCCCATGGGAACTTGGGGACCTCAGGTCCCTCTGTCCCACGGCTTCCTCCTCCTAGGACTGACGTAGGGTCTCCTCTTCAGCGGACAGAGAGGATGAGCAGAAATATCTGCTTCCTGAAGACCCTGCTGCCACGGCCACGATGGCCCAAGGAGGAGAGGTCCCCGCCCTACTCCCTGGAATACGTGGCCATGTTAGCTTACCGGGCAAAGCTAGGATGGTCCTGGGTTTCCTGGTGGCCCAGTGTCATCTCAGGGGCCTTCTAAGAAGGGGGCAGGAGCAGCATCCCAGGGCAGTCAGAAGCAGAGCTGGGAGGAACACACAAGCCCAGCGATGCGGGCGACCCTAGAAGCTGGAGAATACAAAGCATGTTTCGACCCTAGAGCCCTCAAAAAGAGCACGTTACAGAATTCTCCAGAAGTCTACGGTAATAAATATGTGTGATTGGAAGCCACTGTGTTTGGGGCGATTGACTACAGAAGCCATAGGAGTCTAAGACAAATTCCCCATGGGAAAAATGGTATTGCTTTCCCACACTTCCTATTAGTCAATTCATATCACATGATTCCACCTGTCACTAGGGAGTCTGGGAAAGGTAGTCCACAGAAGAGTTGCCCTGTCTCAGGGTGGCTGCACTCTGTGGGAGGCAAGGCCTGGGGGTTTGGTGGGTGCCAGATCTTTGACACATGAAGGAGTCTCCACGGGGAAGGCTTGAGCTGGAGGCATGGCAGGGTTTGAGAAAACCCTACACACACTGGGGAATGAGCTGGGAATATGAGGGGAAACCCGACCACAGGAATAAATGAAATGGTGCTCAGGATGATGACATGCAAAGGCCCTGGGACAGATTTTGGGGCTTAATTCAATTCAATAGAGGACCCTTGGAGAGTTTGAATGAATAGGAAACGAATGAATGAATGAATTAAAAGCAAACTCTAATGGGGCTGAGATGTGGCCACATCTATGGTTGATTCCTAGGCTCCGGAACGTTCAGTGGTCCCTGTGACCTCCCGGGCCAGGTTCCTCTTGGGAATGGGCCACCAGCTGGTTCCAAGGTGCTTTGGGGACAGAAACTGTCCACGGTTCTGCCTTAATGACATCCAGACAGCCACACAAAGCCGAACACTAGTCACAATTATTATAAAATATTAAAATGACTCACAAAGTAAATTAGTCACACACCTCGCGTTCCAGCTCCCAGGTGTTCGGGGCTAATGAGTTTTGTTTTTGGTGCGGATCTGGGAGGGGCCCTTGGGAGCTGAGATCTGCCATCCATCCCCTCCCTGGGGAAACTGAGGCGGGGGGGAGGAGCTATGCACGGCAGTGATAAGGGGCCAGGGGGTGTGGGGGGTCCCTCTTGGGGGCTGGAGAGGATTAGGTCCATGGCAGAGCCTGGGGGGCTGGAGGGACAGCAGGAGGCGCACACGGGAGGCAGAGTCAGTCCGAGACCAGAGACTCGGACACTGCTGCGCTAAACAGGGATGGAGGCCCAACCTGGAACCCCAGCACACGGGAGGCCGAGGCAGGAGGACTGCGGGAGTTCAAGGCCATCCGGGGTACATCCGCATGGGCTGGGCTCCCTCTCGCCAGTCACCCACAGCCCCGCACCGCCAGCTCGGTTTGTCCCCACTTTGGACAGGTGACAGCCCACCGCCATGGTCTAGAGTGCCAGCACCTGCCCGCTACGTCCCCAGCTCCGGGTGGCACCGCTCGGGTCCACGGTGGACCAGAAGACGGTCCTGCTGGGGTCCGCAGCTGAGGCCCAGACACCGACTCTCCCCAGTCTCCTCCGCCTTGGTTACCTCCGTGACGGGGAGCTCACTACCACCTAAACTGACCCTCTGGGGCCCCAGAACCTCCTCCGTTTGCTGCGGCTCTGAGCCGTGGTCAGCTCTCTCCACCCCTCTGGGAAGATCTGGGGCGGGAGGCTGGGAAGGGAGAATCCGCGGTCTGGGCTCAGCCTCCCCCTGAGGACGAGGCGCCGACTGATAACTACAGGTGTCAGCTGATAATTCCTGCTCTACAACTAAAAGGCAGGTGATAAGAAAATCTGGCTGATAAGCAGTGCAGGCGATAACGGAGTCAGGGAGAATGAGGCCCAGCTCACCTCCCCGGCCTCCCTCCCCTCCCGCCTCCTCTTCCTTCCCGAGCATTTATTGACCACCTACTGTGTGCAGCAGGCCCAGCCCTGGGAGCAGGGGCTCCGAGAACAGGCCAGGCGTCCTCCGCCCAGGGTGGCCTGTGCTTGTCACCAGCTACTCGGGAGGCCGAGGCAGGAGGGTCCCAGCAAGCCCGAGCCCAGCCAGGGTGACTTCGTGAGACCCTGCCTTAAAATTCTAAATCATGCAAAGGGCTGGGGTTCCGCTCAGGGAGACGGGCCTGCGCTCCATCCTCGGTTCTGGAAAAAAACAAACCCCTCCCCAAACCCCAAGATGTCCGGGGGGCTGGCGGGGATGGCAGAGTCCTGGCGAGCCGGATGTCACCTGCTGGGCCGACTCCCTCCCTCCAGCAGCGGCTGGTGACTTGTGTGGCCCCCGCTGTCACTCAGCCCAGTCAGCAGAGATCACGGGTTGCTATGGAAACGAGCATGCTTCCCTCCCCCAGAACCTCACGCAGCCGCCTCGGCGGAGCCTGGCCAGGCGGATGAGTCAGGAGGGGCCGCGACGCCCCGCCCGCGCTGCCCCAGCCCTCTCGTGCCCAGGTCGCCCAGAAGCTGGGAGCAGCCTGGGCCTCGGTTTCCACATCCAGAAAGTGGGTGCGGGGGTCATGCACCCATGCTGTGCGTAGGCAGGTACAGGGGACAACGATCTACTGGGGGACTGTTGCCTGTGCCGATGCCAGTTGTGGAGGAAAGGATGGAAATCCCCGGGCCCTGGGCGGCTGGAGTGAGTCAGGCAGCCAGGAAATGAGTTAGAGAAAAGCGGCACAGAAAAGAACACAGGGAAGCGGAGGGGACGAGGGGGAGGAGACAGGAGCTCTGAGAGGGGTCCTGTGGGGGGCCCGGGTGACCAAGGTGACGCTGGGCATGGGAGAGTGGGAAAAGAGCCATCTGGGGCTGAGGGTAAGGCCGTGCAAAGGCCCTGGGGCAGCACACGGTCCGCTGGAGCAGCAAGGAAACCAAGTGGCTCGGCAGAGACAGCAAGAGGCAGAGAGAGAGAGAGAGAGAGAGAGAGAGAGAGAGAGAGAGAGAGAGAGAGGAGGTGGGGAGACCAGGGCAGGGGCGCTAAGCTGGCCTGGAAGTCATGGTGGTCCTACAACAGGGAAAAGTGCATTCAGGCCACACTTAGTATCAGCACATCCTTTTGCAGCAGTGATTGGCTCAGAGTTGTCCACGTGACTCGAGTCAAGCCAATCAGAATCACCCATGCAGCTTTACTGGAACCAATAGGCACCAGGGCTCTGTCTGTTGACTATGAATGGGACGAGTGTGGTAAATGGGGCGGCACGTGACTATGACTGAACCCCACCCTGAGGAGAGCGGAGCTGGGAAACAGAGACAGACTTCCGGGAACATCTTTTCAGCTCCCGGATCCAGCCGAGCCTGAAGCTGCTCCTTGGACTTTGCGGTTGTTGAAATCCATGTATATCTTTCTTGCGGATGTTAAATCTGTTCCAGTTTTTCACAATCAAAACAGAGCCTTCTATGAGGTCCCAAGTTTCCTGCCTCAACACCTGTGTCCTCTCTCGGCTCCAGACTTCCTTCATGGCCTGGAAAAGCTTTCCAAGCGGGGCATGAAACTTTCGGAGGTGACGGAGATCGCCGCTGTTTCAGGCTGTCACGGGAATATGCGTATGTCAAAGCCTTTCAAAGTGTGCCCGTTTGCATGTTTATTATGACACTTACGCCTCGATACATGGATATATTTTAAAAACAGCATCAATAGCACCGTTCCAGCCTCTGAATCCAGCCATGCCTGAAAGCCTCTCCTCTGGAATTTTCAGATACATCCACTGTTACTGTCCTTTTGGGGAGACGGTAATAATTAGTGTTAATTTTTATTCCATTGTCGGTTGTGTTAGTCGTTTTTTCTCTCTCTGGGTCCAAAAGGAAACACACAGAGCAGATGTACAAAGCGTTTCCTCCAAAAACACGTCTGCGATGCTGGGTATAGTGGGGCATGCCTGTAATCTAGTACTCAGGAGGCAGAGGCAGGAGGATCCCAGCAGGTGTGAGGCCAGCCTCAGGAATTCAAGGCCAGGCTGAACCACAGCAAGACCCCCTTCAAACAAACAAACAAACAAACAAACATGCCTGGGAAACTTGAGGATAAACAAGGATTCAGCTCCTCTTGCGGGACTTGTCAGAGCCTTTACTGTGCAGACATGGGTGTCCAGGAGGGAAGCGATTCACACAGAGCCAGGGTTTCAGAAGCCTATCAAAGGTGGACCAGCAACGGGGATCAGGTGTCTGAGAGCCCTGAGTTTGAATGCAGACCGTTGGCTGACCCAGGGGATTCGGCGGGACTGTCCTGCCTCAGCCTCCCAACTGGGTGCTGAGCTGCCGGCCAGCTCTGAAGCAGGCACAGGGCGCCTGGGGGTCCTGGCCTGGGGCTTCCGGTCCCCCGGGCAGCAGGGGCCAGGGCTTCTGCTTGTAAACCCGCTTCCTTGAGGAGCCCTGAGTCTGCCAAAGGAAAACATTAGACCTGGAGGAACAGGCGGGGGGGGGGTTCCATGACACTGCTTAGGAAATGCTGCCCGCCACCAGGAAGCCCTCCGAGATTGCCCGGCCGAGTCGCCAGCATTCTGGGCTGCCCCCCCTTCGCCTCCCCCCCCGGACCCCCACGGTCGGTGCCCCCAGCAGATGCCAGGGCCCCATCTCCATCTGCACCAGGACGGACCCGGCACGGTGGCGGCAGTGCCAAGGGGGCGGGGACACCAGCTCCTCGCCAGCTGGGCCGCCTCCTGCAGCTGCTGGGTTGCCATGGTGACCGAGCCAGCATCCCTCTCTCCCTCACCCCGGGCCCAGGCCTTCCGGGGACCAGCAGCTCCTGGCGTCATGGAAATGGTTTCCAGGCACCCGCAGGGCACTTCCTCATTGGCTGAGCCGGCAGCAGGCAAAGGTCACTCCCAGGGTCAGCTGTAGGGGCCAGAGCTGGGCTCTTCGGGGCCTCGCGGCCACCGTGAAGAGGATATCTGGGAGGCAAGCCGGATTCTTAACTCGTTTGCCCCTGGGGAAGCCTGAGAATCCTGGAGCTGGTCACGGGGGACTTCAGTCACTCCCCCAACCCCCACCCCAAATCCTCCACAGAAACAGATACTCTAACCCACATGCACTGGCTTTAATATGGGTCTCCGAGAAGCACCATCCCTTCTTCTAGAACCTTCTGGAACCTTCTGGAAACTTCTAGAAGCTCCTCTGACCGCCATCACTGTGCAGGTGCTGGGTTCCTGTGAGGGCTGGAACCCTGTCCCCAGAAACAGAGAACAGCAAGGCTAGGACTGAGCCCTGGAGCCTGGAAAAACCGAAATAACAGCAGCGAGCACGCATGCCTACAACCCCAGCACTCTGGGAGGCTGAGGCAGGAGGATCTCAAAGTTAAGCTGCAACCTGGGCTGATAGGTGACTTAGCAAGTCCTGTCTCAAAATAAAAAAGGAGGCGGGATGGGAGCTCGGTGTGCAGCCCGGTGCAACAGGACAGAGGAAAAACAAATTACTCACTTTGCAAACTGGCCCAGCGCTGAGGGCTGCTGACGCTTGTGGGTGACTCCAAGCCCGGTGTAAGTCCCTGCAGGCAGAGTGCCGTGGGCCAGGGCAAGTGGCACCCTGATCCCATCTCACGGAGGGGGAAGCTGAGGCCCAGGGAGGCCTGGGACGGACAGGAGGAGGCCAGAGGGGACGGGGCGCCACCGGGAGCCAGTCACCCCGGCACTGGCCATGCAGCCTTTCTTCTCCCGGGGCCTAGATGCACCAGGGCCTTTGCACTGGCTCCAGCCCGGCCCTGTGGCTTTTTCCATCTAGCTGGGGCCGTGCTGTGTCGCCCTGGCTGGTTTGGGGCCTGAGACCCTCCTGTCTCGGCCTCCCCGAAGCCCAGGCTGTGCCGGGCGGGGCAGGAAACCGGGGAGCCCGTGTGCTCAGGGACCCCAGGACGGCCCGGCCCCGGAGAAGGCGGCCTGCGCGGCTTCCCAGCCCTCGCCAGCTGCTGCCCAGCTGTTGCACCCGGCAGCATCTGTGCCCGAGTCCCTGCAGCTGGAGCTGCAGCTCGGGGGATGCCGGGGACTTGGGGTGCAGGGCGGGGCCTGGCGGCTGCCCCAACACTCCTGGGGGGTGAATGTGGGTGCCAGCAGCTGCGCCCAGATCAGCCGTGGCCAGAGCCGAAGCCCCAGTGAGGGCGGAGGTGGGGTTCACAAAGCTGCACCCCAAAAGCTCACGCCTCCCGCTGCTCTGTCCCGGGCTGCCCAGCTCCCTCCTGCCTCAGCCTCCTGTGCTGGGGTGACAGGGGTGGAGCGCTGTACCCAGTTCACCTTCCTCCCCAAGCACGTACCGAGCACCTAGCGTGTACCAGACCCTGATCTAGCCCTCCATAGCCCTGAACAAAATAGATCCCCCAAAACTCCTGATCTCCTGGCCTCAGTCCAGTGTGACAGGCAGTAAATTAGCCAGCAGTCATCTGGGTGTGGTGGTGCACACCTGTCATCCCAGCACCAGGAGGCTGAGGCAGGAGGGTTGCACTGAGTTCCAGGCCAGCCTGGGCTACACAGGGAGACGCTATCTCAAAAAACAAAACCAAATAAAAAAGCAATAGGTCAATGAACTATTTGCAAATGGTGGTCAGAACTGGGCAGGGTGGGGTGCACAGAAGGTGCACCCCTGGGAAGGAGGACCTTGGAATCAGAGGCGGCCATGGGAACAATGGGCAGAGGCAGTGGGCACGGCCGTGCAAAGGTCCTGGGGCGGCACGGATCCCGGCAGGCAGCGTGCAGGAAGGAGCAGAGAGGAGGCCGTGTGGCAGCACAAACTCTTCTCCCGGGAGGGAAGAGATTTTAGGGCACACGGGCTGGGACTCCGTCGTCAGATCTCAGCTGCTCGGGGTGGGAGGGAGAAGAAAAAGGAGAAGTGGGGGAAAGACAGTATTTCTATTGTCCAAATAAATTGAGACGTACTTGCGAAGGTGTCAAGAGCTCGGGCTAGAAAGCCGCAGCTCCGCGGGCGCTGACGGACAGCCCAGATTAATGGAGCCGCGTTTTTATGGTCTGTTAACAGCTGATACGGGCTTTAAATATATTATCTGCCCCTTGTATCGCCTGTCACTTTAAAACTGCTCGCGTCTCCCGCGTCTGCTCTTAAAAGGTTCGCGCGGCTGCCGGCGCCCCGATCCCCTGCTCCTCCCCGAGATCTATCATCTCCCGCCGGCAGCTGCGCTCGGCTACTTTCACGGGCAATTTCACCGCGGAATCCTCGGAAGCCCCCCGAGTGTCTTCACTGTAAGCTGCTGCCTCTGCTTAAAACGCTCTTCTGTCTCACAGACTCCTACACATCCCTCAGCACCCAGGAAGTGGCACCGGGGAGCTGGATTCTCGCCCTCATCAGAGGCTCCTGGGACGTACAGAGAGAAGCGGGTGTGGCCCCGGCATCTGTTTCTGTGTCTCAGGAGGAGCCTGACCTCCAGGCACCTGTGGTCCCTTTACAGGGATGTGTAGCAGTCAGCGCCGGCTGTGATAATGCTGCATAACAAGTGGCTTCCCCATCTCACTGGCTGAGCGTGGCATGAGTGGGCTTCTTGCTGAGGATCTCCGATTCTGTCTCTGTCTGTCTGTCTGTCTGTCTGTCTGATCCCTTTCAGCACTCAGGGGTGGCTCCCATGTCTGTGACCCCCAAACCCCGAGCTGCTGCCCACACCCAGGAGCAGAGGCAGCATTTGCTGGATGAAGTCTCTCTCTGTCCCCGGCCCGTGAGTTCCCAGGAGTTAGAATGCGCCCCAGTGTGGCCTCCCGGGGCTTCCCGCGTGCCCGCCTTGCCCTCTGCACTGCCGGAGGCTGAGGCAGGAGGGTCACCCTGCCTCGGGATCCAGATGAGCGAGAGGCTGATGGCGGAGCTCAGCGCCAAGGCCCTGGGGCCGCGATCGGCACCGTGAGAGGAATAAAGACTAAGTAATAAGTGGGAATAAACACCCCAAGAGCCCCCCTGCCGTTCCGCCCCAGGCCCAGGCGCTCACCGGGACTCGGGCTCTCACAGAGCAGCCGGCCCGCCGAGTCCTCGTTTAAAAACATCAACGCAAATGACATCAGCAAACAAACTGCTCATCTTCACCCCTGAGGCAGCAATGGGGGGACACAGCTCTGAACCCGGGCAGAGGTTCAGAGAGAGTCCGGCCTGTCCTCCCCGCGGCGGCCACCAGAGGGCGCTGTGAGCCGCGAGTCCGCTCCTCCCTCCTCCGCCCTCCACAGCGCCCCCTTCCCGGGCCAAAGCCCGCGTTCTGCAGCCCGCAGCGCCCTGCACGGCCTGCTGTGCCCTCTCCGCCTCTCCTCCTCCCTGCCCACTTCTCTCTCTGCTCCAGCCAAGAGGCCTCCTTCATGCCGCGGCAACACACCTGCTCTGTCCTGCCCCTGGGCCTTTGCACGGAATGCCGTTTTCCTACATCCCCCTGTTTCAATTCTGCCTATTGCGTCTCCCCATCTGAAATGATGATTTTTGTTTGCTTGTGGATTTGCTGTCTCTCCAGCATCCATCAGCATGGAAGGGCAGGGGATATTGGCTCTTTGGTTCTCTGCTGGGTCTCCAATTCTGGAACACACCCAGGCATATAACAGCCATTGGTGTTTGTTGAGTGAATAAATGCACAAATAGAGTTCAAGACAATATGAGTGCAGATAGGGGCACCAAGGAACTAGCATTTCATCTCCAGCTCTGCCACACACTGACTGTGTGGTGTTTGCCTGGTTACTTAGGTTCTCTGTGCCTCTGTCTCCCGAGGTAAGGTGAGAGACTCAGCTGAGGTAATCCAGGTAGCGTGGCACACACAGCATGTGACAGGGAACAAGCTCTCACTAAGTGAGCTGCTAACACCAGGAGACACAGGTATCCTCCACCTGGAGGTCTCACCAGGTGCCAGGACACACAGCCGGGTCTCTTCCCTTTTTCACAGCTGTGTAGGTTTCCCAAGGGGGCATGTTGCAGTTACCTGCCATGTCCCCACCAGCTGGGCACAAGTCACAAGTCACAGTGGACAACTCCGCAGTGCCTGCTCATGAACTCATAGCCTTGTGCAATGCCATCTCTAGGCTTTGGATGGAAGGCAGGAATTGTGATATTTAATGCCACTACCCTGCCCTGGGGCTTTCACTGGCTGTATACAAGCTCAACAAGAGGAGCTCGAATCCCTTCATCCATGCCTGACTTCACCCCTTCCCTCCTGACACTTTCTGATCTCATCACGGAGATGTGAGACCTTGTTCTGGTTTGAGTTCCTGTTTCCTGGACCTGAGTGATTTTTCCTGCCCCACTGAGCGGAAGGCAGTGCCCAGGGGCTGCGGCCATCTGAACCCTCACATGAATGTGATTTCTCACTATCTCTATCAAAATATTGAATTTTCACCCAACATATGATTTTTTTGGCACCGGGGATGGAACTCACAGCCTCGTACTTGCCAGGTAGACACTGTGCCGCTGAGGTTTATCCCGACACATTCAGGCTGCCTTGAGCTCACAGCGATCCTCCTGCCTCAGCCTCTGTGTGCTGGGATCACAGCTGCGCCCCACCACACCCAGCTGAGATGTTCACTTAAAGGAAGTGATTGATGAGCGCTCCTTAGTGCACTTGGGTTATCAGCATACTAAAAGACCCCCAAGCAGAAGTAGGTGGTGACACCCCAGGAGCTGATGGGGCCGCACTGTATCCCGGGTGAATCTCAGGAGGGTAGTGCATACATGGTGGAAACTCCAGACGAGGTGCAGGTCTGTGCCCTTGAGACTCTTGGCTCCAGAGTCTTCCATTCCTCACTGACAGGGCTCCATTTCAAGCTCGTGAATTATTTATTTCTGGAATTCTCCTCTTCCTATTTTTGGACCTTGGCTGACCACGAGCAACCAAAACCACGGAAGCCGGCGCTCGGGGAAGCAGCATTCACGTCCTGTCAGTTTCAACGTTGTCCTTTGTACCTGGGCTGCTCTGTCACTTTATTTTCCTTCTCTTTTGTTATTTGCTTTTAAGATACCATCTTGCCGTGTTGCCCGGGCTGGGCTGCAACTCTTAGGCTCGAGAGACTCCCCTGCCTCAGCCTCCCAAGGACCCCGGTCTCCAGGCATGGCCACGGCGCCTCAAAATCATAAGCTTTCCTTCCTCCTCTCTTGTTTTGGTTCTTTTGAGACGGGGTCTCACTATGCAGCCCGGGCTGGCCTGGAACGCACAGCGACCCTCCTGCCTCAGCCTCCCCGGTGCTGGGGCAGGTGTACACCACCACGCACCACCCAGGCACTGGGCCAGCAAGTAGAAGCACCACCATGTTTCGCCTGTTCCCTTCCTGGTTCTTTCTCTGCATGTCTTAGCATCTGCCCTCTAAATCTGCTCAGTTGGCCCTTCTTGGAATCTTTTGTTCAGTGAATCACAGATGTTAGGACAAAGGTTTGCATTTGCTGAAGCCATCATGGCGTCTCGTGCTGAGGACAAATTGACACGGAAGGAGCATGGAGGGCGGGTGATGATTAACTCCTGAGCAACATATGCAGACTTCTACGCAGCATGATGATCTGACCCTCCTGTAAAGAAAGGTGATGTGCCTCTGGCTCCAAGGAAGATCTACACCCCCACCAAAATAAAAGTCTCTCTTCCTTTCAGGCTATAGCCTGGTGGGCAGGCACAGTATCACCAAGGCTTTCAGGGCCAGGGCCCTCTGGAAACATCTGAACTGCCATTCTCTTTTTTTTTTTTTTTTTGTCTTTTTCCTTTTTACCGGTACCAGGGATCGAACTCACGACTGCCTGCTTGCAAGGCAGGCGCTTATGCCGCTGAGCTAAATCCCCAGCCCTGAACTACCATTCTCAAAGAAGTGCATGGGGCTATGATTACTGTGCCCATCTCACAGAGGGGGAAAATTGAGGCCCTGAGACTGGAAGTGATTCTTGCAAGATGTGGCTAGAAGGAAGCTGTGGAGGGTGCCGCAGCTCACGAACTCCCAAAGGGGCCGCAGAGATAACCAAGCCCCGAGCCTGGGTGCTGGCTCTGCACAGGTCTCAGGCCTCTGGCTACCCATATGGGTCTCCGGAAGTACTGGACGGATGGGAGACTGAGGCCTGCAGGGGGCCGCACGCAGGCGCCGTGCACGCTGCAGGCCTTGTGCCTGGGATGCAGCCTGGCTTCCCCGGGAGGGGGCAGCGCGGTGGCCGGGGAGGGCGGCGGAGCTGGCACTTCACCTGCACAACCAGCTCCGGGCGGGTGCACGGACACCAGGCGGGCACACGCATGCACACGCACGTGCAGACGCAGGCCCGTGCACGCGAGCACATAAACACACGCACAGACACGTGACGCACAGTGAGCGTTTGCGCACACACGTGTGTCCACGCACGCACGCGAGCGTCTCTGTGCACACGCACGTTCCCGCCGCCCGCAGGCACTCGGGCACACGGGAACACGCGCATGTGCACGCGCCTCCCACACCCAGCCCTCCCCTCCCCCTCCCGCCCTCCTCCGCCTTCGGCACCATTTAAATGATTACAAAGATGCTATTTTTATCTGGAGGAAAATTCAATTATAGACACTGACCTTTAAGGAGGTTTTTTCTCCACCAGCTCACGTGAGGCGCGCGGTGCGAAAAGGGGGTGAGCGCCCTGCAGACGGCGCCCCCGAGGGCCCGGCTCACACCCCAGTCCAGGGGGCGGGGGCGGGGCTCTGCTGTTGGTTTTTGTTTTTTTACACATGGTCTTACTCTGAGCTCACTTCGTGGCCCGGGCTGGTCTGGAACCCACGGTGACCCTCCTGCCTCAGCCTCCCGAGTGCTGGGAGTACGAACATGCGCCACCACGCCTGGCATCTTATTTTTAATTTTGAGGCAGAGTCCGGGCAAATTGCAGAGGCCGGGTTCCATCCGGAGACCCTCCTGCCTCGGCCTCCGGAGCAGCTGTCCCGTCCCACGCCCGCCTTTCCCGGCCCGGAGGCCCAGTGGGCCTGCTGCGCATGCGCCCTCTGCACGGCCTGCCCGCCAGGCTCTGTCTGCAGGTTCTCTTCTTCTAGGTAAATCTCCCAGAATTCCGCAGAACTGGGGTTCATGAATGGCCTGGAATCCCGCAGAGATTTAAGGGCCTGGCCTGGAAATGTCACTGTGTGTCCGCGCTGTTCTGGGTTCCGGGAGAATCTACCCTCTAGACCATGCTGCTCCTCTGCCCTCTGGACCTAACAAAGAGGAGAACCACGGGTAGCTGCCAAGCAGCCAAGGAGATCGGGAGCAGGGCGGCCAGCAGTTCGGGTGTCCTGGGAGACACTAAAGGGGCTGGGGAAAGGGAGGAGGAGGGCACAGTTGTGCAAAGGCCCTGGGGCAGCATGGAGTCTTGCGGAGCAGGAGCAAAAGCAGCTGGAGCAGAGGGAGAGAGGGAGCAGGGGAGGCTGGGAGGGGGCGGGCGGGCCATGCAGGGCCTCGCGGGGTGCAGGAGGAACGGGGTTTGGCCCGGGGAGGGCCGAGGACGGAGGACGTGACTCGGTGCTCACCGCGCCTCCTGGTGGCCGATGCGGGAAGGACAGGCTGCGGGGTGAGGCCCAGGCCGGGTGGCCTGGCGTCCATGCAGCTGGGCGGGCAGTGGTCGCAGAGGGGTCCACGGCCAGGCGCAGAGATGACACCCGTTTTCATTTCTTATCTTGGGCAGCGTCTCGCTAGGTCGCTAAGCTGCCTGGGCTGGCCTCGATAGCGATCCTCCTGCCTCAGCCTCCCGGAGTGCGGGCTGCCCGGCTGCACAGGATTATCCCTGTCCGCGGGGGCCCGGGCGTCACCGTGACCGACGCCGTGACCCGTAAAGCCGCCCTCGGGGCTGGCGGCCGGGGCTTCGGGACGAGGGAGGGGGCGGGGCAAGGGCAGGCTCCGCCCACCGCAGGGGGCGCCCTCCCGCTGCCATGGCAACCGCGGCCTCTATGCTAATTAGGGCAACGGCCAGACTCCGCAGCCCCGCCCCGCCCCGAGGACCCGCCGCCAGGGGGCGCTCTCGCCCCAAACCCTCCGGCGCAGCCTGGTAGCGCGCCCGCGGCCCCCGGGACTCGGTTTCCCGGGTTGCGTCATTGCTCTGAGCCCGGGTCCCGGGGGGCAGGGCCAGGGTGACCTCACCAGCCTGGGGATGGCGGGTGCGGGGCCGGGGCTGCTTCGGGCACCGGGCCTCCGGCCTCTCCCCCTGCAGGGCATTCGCGTTCCCTCGTCATCGCAGCCTCGTAACCGTCCCGAGCTGGGCACCACCGTGCCTGCTTCAGAGAGGAGCCGGCCAGGGCACAGAGAGGGCAAGGGCCGGCCCGGGGTCACACAGCCTGGCAGAGCTGGGCTGCTGCTTCCTCCACCTCCTCCTCGTCCTCCTCCTCTCCTTGTTATTCTTGTTATTCTTATTCTTCTTTTCTCCTTTTGAGGCAGGGTCGTGCTTTGCAGTCCAGGCCGGCCTTGAGCTCACTTTGCAGCCCAGGCTGCTCTGGAACTCACAGCGACCCTCCTGTCTCAGCCTCCCGAGTGCTCGGATCACAGGTGTGCGGCACCGCACCCGGAAAACCTGATATTGTTTTAAATTATGATAAAATCCACATGCTATAAAATTTATCATTTGGGACACTTTTTAAAATGCACAATTTGAGCTGGGTGCGGTGCATGCCTCGGGCCTGGGCACGGGCGTTCGCAGCCCTGTCACTGTGAATGGCGCGGCTGCCCGAGTTCCCCCGAGAATTTGCACGCGATGATTAAATGCCGCCCGTCTCCCCCCAGATGGACGCGTTTCCCTTCTCTCTGCCTCTGTCTCTCCCTCTCTTTCTCGTCCTCTTTTGCATTTTGACACGGGCTCGCCACGCTGCCCAGGTTGGCCTCCGGTCTGTGATCCTCCCGCCTCAGCTTCCCAGATAGCCGGGAGGGCGGGCATACATCTCAGCACCCAGCTATCCACCTCGGGAACTCCAGGGCGGGAGGTGGCCGCAGGAGGAGCCAGGCGAGGCTGGAGGGGGGCTCCTGGGAGCAGGGTGGGCAACAGCCCATGCGAAGGCAGCGTGAGAGCCTGGCGGGGCACACGGAAGGAGGACGGCAGGGCGCTGAGCCGCGCTGGGCACCAAGGCTCCACCGTCCCCCTGGCTGCCGGGTCCTGGCGCCTATGCCAAGGAAGGGAGAAGGCATCGTGGTCCCAGCCACCTGCAGGCACAGACGCTGGCCATCGGGAACAGCGTGGACAGCCAGGCCCATCCCCTGCGCTGGCCAGAAGCCCTCGGCTGCAGGGGGAGCCCAGGTGTGGGGTGCCCTGCCGCGGCCCAAGGCTCCTGCCAGGCCATCCATCCCAGGGGCTGGGGACTGGGGACTGGGGGCCTTGATGCTGCTGGCTTAGGTCTGTGCTGGGGGGGGCACAGAAACAGGCACAGGCCGCAGAGGTAATCAAAGGCTCTGCTTCAAGACTGGGCTGCTGGGATCCGGCTTTACAGAGCCTGGAGCCCAGCAGAGGCCCTGCAGGACAGCTGTGTCACCCAAGCCACAGGGTCAGTGACCACCCCAAGTCACACAGGGAGATGCGGAGCAGCTGCCCTCAGGGCCCTGTCTGTCTGGGTCCAGGAACCCTCAGTCCCTCCCTCCCGCCTCTCTAGGATGAGGTAGAGGGTTTTCTTGGCACAGCAGCTGCCCCGAAACCCATAGCAGGCAAATGTGCAACACACACACCCCAACCTCCATCAGCCACCCGGACAGACATCACTAATCAGTAAGAGGACTCAACTCCAGCAAGAGCCCATCACTAATGGAGTGCAGCTCCCTTTGCCCTGCAGACCTGAAACAAGGCCCAGAATCCTCCCTCCTCCTCCAGAACTAGCAACTGGACCCTTTGCAGAGAGCTCCAGCCCCAGCCGGGCAGCGGCCAGCCTGCGATCCCCACGCGCTGGGAGGCCGAGGCAGGAACGCGCCATGGTCAAGCCCACCCTGCGGAACCACATGGTGACTTGGAATAAAAAATAAAACGGCCCGAGGATGTGGCTGGAAATAAAATACAACTGTACAGAGGCCGGGCTGGGGGACTCGGCCAGGGTCAGGCTCGAGGAGCTGGTGGCTGAGTCCCCGAAGAGTCCCCGGAGCCTGGATCCCTGCGCCCGCCCTCCGGAGCCAGCCTGACCTCCACGGCAGTCCGGGCAAAGCCCCACTTGGGTGCAATCACGGGCGCTTTGTGTCGCCGGCCCGGGGCCTGCTCACAGCTGCAGGCCACGCCCGCATCTCGGGACCGGAAGGCGCTATCTTTGCATCGCTGGGCCTTATTGAAATGGTGACTTTTTTTTCTCTTCCTAATAAATGAGATTTTTTTCTCTCTTTTTTTTAGCGCTTTTGCCATCACTTGATCCCCAGTTGGATTCTCTCTCGGCTCAAAGCATTTCTGACTACATCGACACATTTCACCGCCTTCCTCTCCCCAAAGGGAACAGTCGGAAAGAGGAGGGGGAGGGGATTTGATCAAATCAACAGGGGTCGAGAGAGCACAAGAGGGGAGGTGACGGGCCACTTTCTCCGCTTGGCACCTCACTAAGAGGAGGGTGTGCAGTTCAGGCAAACTGGCCAGCTGCAGCCTCAGAAAGAAGCACCAAGCCGGGCATAGTGGCACGTGTGTGAAGCCCAGCATTCAGGAGGCTGAGGCAGGAGGGCTGGGGGCTTTTTTGAGCAGGGTGCCAGGTGCAAAAGGAGATGGAGGCCAGCAATGCACGCGGCCTCCCAGGTGGGCAGTGGGGCGCCCGCCGCGGGAAGTGTGCAAGGTCAGGCTGCACCCGGCCGGGCTCCACCCTGAGCCTCGCAGGCCCGCGGGCTCCTCCCCTCCCACCCCCGTCCGGGCTGTGCTGTGTGGCCAGGGCAGGGCCTCGGCTTCTCTGGGCCTTGCCTGTTGCAGGAGGGAGAGCGCCAGGGGACCGGGTCCAGTACCCTGCAGCTGCGGGGAAGCAGGGTGAGGCACTGGGTCAGGAGCTCCAGGTCCCGGGGCTCCGTGTCCCCAGGGCCCTCGGCTTTGCTCCGGCTCCCCTTGTGCACTCCATGGCCGCCAGGGGGCGCCAGGGAGCACAGCACCTCCCTCTACCTTCAGCCCTCCAGGGCTCCCACCTCCCTGGGCCAAAGCCCAGGTCCGCCTGCAGCCCACATGGCCCTGCACGGCCCGCCTGGCCACTTCCCACGGCCCCTCTCTGCCTCCCCTGCTCCCTCTCCGCCCCTTCTCTCTCTGCTCCAGTCACATGGCCTCCTCGCGCTCTGCACCTCCCAGGGCTCCCTGCTGCCCCAGGACCTTTGTACGGCTGCCCCTCCACCTGCATCCCTGACCAGCTATCTAGAATTGCATCCCCAATGCGTCCCTTTTCCTGCCTGGAGTTACCGCAGGCTTATCTAGCATCACTCTGCCTTGACTGGCTGGGGTACTCAGCCCTCAGTACCCAACTTGCCTGCAGAGGGAGGCTCTGTCCTTAGCCAAGCACATCCTCTGCCTAGGCTCCGGTCTGTTCTTCTGGAGAACTTGCATATAAGAAACACACCTACTATGTGTCAAGTACTTAGGAAGGCCCACTACATGCCTGGCACTTCCCTAAGAACTATGTGAGTCTAAGCCAAGTTAAAAGCTGCTGGTGGGGATGTTTGTTGATTGACGTGCAGACTGACACACAGTGGGTGACAGCAGGCTATTCCCCCTGCTCAGCCCTCAGGATGATATGAACAGGGAAACTGACTGGGGCCATAACCAGCGTGCTCTGCGTAGATGTAAGTGTGACTGATCTAACACAGTTAGGGCGATCAGTGCCTTGTGCCCACTCTCTGCCCTCTGGCTTGAGCTTGTCTCATTCTGACCCCATGATAAGCCTATTCCTCTTCACCTACTCTCTCGGGGTGCAAGATTCCCTCCTCCACCCAAACTGTGCCATTCCCAAGATGCATCTGGGCACAAAATGCAAATAAGGAGAATTAATCTATTCCAGAAAGGAACCTGCCTGTACTGACTTAGGAAACCAGAAGTGTACCCCGACCCGCAGATGGGGCATGGGCTTTTGCCACCCGAGCTGTCCTCAGACCCTAGCCCTTCCCAGCCAGTCACGGTGGTCCCCACCACCCTTCAATGCCTCTGAATGCTGTATTTACAAGGTACGTGATTTTTTTTTTTTTTCCTGTACTGGGGACTGAACCCAAGGCCTTCACACAGAGCTATACTGCAGTCCTTTTTAGTTTTTACTTTAAGACGCGGTCTCTGCGACAGTTGCCCGGGTCAGGCCTGAACTTGGAACCTTCCTGCCTCAGCCTCCCGGAGCCCAGGTGCCACCTTCAGCTGGATGCAAGCGTGAACGGCAGGAAGCAGCCCTGTAATTAACCAGGCTCTAAGATTCACCGAAGAAATCCAGCCAGGTTCCCTGGAGCCTCCAGCCAGGCCGCTGTGTCACCAAGGAGAGCTGAGCGGGTGTCGGAGCTGGCGGTCGGACGGACATGGCAGTGGCTGGTTAAACTAAACACTGTGTCCCGGTGAAGGGGGCGTCGGCCCGAAGCCTCAGTCCTCACGAGGCTCACCTGGGGTCCCGCCTCCTTCTGCAACAGGTCGGGGTGCTCTTTCCTGCGTGGCTTCCTGAGTGGGGGTCAAAGCTGGGGAGGAGACACAGGCCGGCGTCCTCCCCCACGGTGGTCCCCCACCTGGTACCATGCGACTTCTGGGTCTCGCCCACATTAAAGTGACCGAGAAGGTGAATGTTTTAAATTCGTCCAGGCCGTTGAAGCAGCCAGGACAGCGCAGCTAAAAGACACTCATGAAGGAGCCACTGCAGGAAGTGGGGGGAACCTCGGGGTCCCTGTGCTGGGCGTGAGGTAGGGATCGCGAGGGGGATTCGTGGCAGCGAAGTTTTGCGCCTGATTTTCAGATCACGCCTGGTCTGCAGCTTCGGTGACAACACGGTCTCAGTGGGTCACTCTGTGTGTCACCGTGTGGCCTCCCCAAGGTCCAGGTGCCAAACTGGGGCCCTCAGCAAGGCCTTGAATTGGGGACCCAGGGCGAGGCTGGTGCAGCCCTCAGGCCTGCACCCCACACCCTGCAAGCTCTTCAGGAGACCGATCCAACTTCTGTCCCTGAGCACGCAGGGACCCAGAGGCCCCTCTGCACCCAGAGCCCATGGAGATGACAGGGGCTTGCTTTGCTTCTGTCACCAGTCCAGGAAGGTAGGGAACAAAGCCCCCGGCTTCTCCCTGCACTGGCTACACACCATTCCACTGGAATGGTATTTTGTCTTTTGAAATACTTGTGGTGACGATGACGTGGGTTCATGCATATGTAAATATACTCACTTGCATATATTAAAATGGAAGAATAAGCTGAATATGCAGGTAAGAGGTAGAATGTGATAGGCAACACCTTTCACTCATTTTTCTTGAGACAAAGAATCCCAGAAACCTTTCCCTGTGAGGCCACACAAGTCACCCTTGCTCACCGCTGTATAGTATTCCAAAGAGCCATTATGACCTAATCAATTCAGTCAATCTCCTTCTTTTTGACGGTGTTCAGGAACTTCTCGCCTGCACCCCTTTCCAATATCATCTCAATGATGTGGCTCTGGTGGTTCTCACAAAAAGCCAGGGTGAGTAGTCTGCTTATACCTGATTTCAAGGCTGAGGACTTGAGACTCACAGCTTGCTGATGGCTGTGAAGCGCAGAGGGTTTAAAATAGCCTAGGGTTTAAAAGAGCAATGGCTTTACTGATGTAATTCACCGTCCACAAAAGGCACTCATTTAAAACGTGCAAGCAGGTTTCCACTTCCACTGAAGTCCGCTGTGATCCATTAAAGTTAAGCTTTACTACGGCGTGAGGTAGGGATCCAACTTCAGTCTGTCATATGTAGCTGGCCCCAGAAGCATTTCTTAAGAAGATTTTTATTTCCATACAAAACTGGCCACCTTTATGAAGTGTTGTTTTTCTTTTTGTTACAGAATCTCTTTAAGTAATTCAGGTTGGCCTTGCACTCACTAAGTGACCCTCCCGCCTCAGCCTCCTGAGTGGCTGTGATGACAGATGGGCACCAGTGTGCCCGGCGTGGCTGAACCTTTATCAGGAAGGGGAAGTTGAATTTCTCAAACACCACTGTCAGAATCCGAACCCAGCTCCCTGAATTGAACCCCACAATTACCCAGTTGGCTACGTCAGGGGCCCCAGCCTAGGGCAGAGCCGCGGGGGTTAGGAGAATCCTGTCCATGAGCTGGGCTGGTGGGGGTGGCTCCCCCGAATGGGCTCCAGGAAAACATCGGAGCTAACTACTGGGCTGGGAGCGGCCGCTGCTGGGGCGGGCAGGAGGGTGGGGGGGAGCAAGCGCCCCCCTCCCTGGCCCTGGTGGCAATGTGGGTGGGCTGAGCATCTCACTGGGCCACCAATCACGCTGCCCAGGCCAGGCCCTGCCCCCCAGGGGGCCTTCGAGTCCTCTGCCCTGCCTGGGCCAGCACCCTCCACCTCACACCCACCGTGGCCCCGGCTGGCTGTCGGCTGCCACAGGCTGCAGTCAGAGCCCTACAACAAGCCGTGCTTTGTCTGTTTCTGGTGTCTCCGGGCCTCCGCCCCGAGCTCCCGCCCAGCACTTTTTATGCTGAAACAGGGTCTCCCTAAGTGGCTATGCTGTCCTGGTTGTGCTCAACCTTGGAATCCTCCTGCATCAGCCTCCCACCCGAAGCCTAACTCTGCTTACCTGGATTGTTTGTTTTTGGAGACAGGCTCTTACTATGCAGTCCGAGCGGGCTTTCAACTCATGGAGCCCAGGCTGGCCTCCAATTTACAGTGATCCTCCTGCCTCAGCCTCCTTAGTGCTGGGATGACAGATTCGCCCACCACACCTGGCAGCTGCTTCTTTAATTTTTCAGTTCTCAGAAGGGAACCCAGGGCCTCAGGCATGCTGGGCGCCCTCATGGCTGGGCCACACCCCGGCCCTGATAGGGCTGATTTTATGGTCACCTTGGCACCCCAAATTTCCACAGAGGGGTCCCTCTGTGGTATAAGCCTTTGTGAATCTGCACTGTGCCGGGTGACATTGCATGATGTTAACTCATCCTGTCCACCCACCAGCCCTATGGGACAGAGATTCATAAGCAGGTAAACTGAGGCATGGCTGAAGTGGAGAGACTAAGAGGGAATGAGCAAATATGCCCCCAGGGAAACCATTCCCTGGTACTAAATAAGGATGAGCAAATGAGGTCATTGAGCCAGGAGACTGGAGACCGTGTCAGAGGGTGAGAATGGGCCTTGATTTCAGGTGGAGGGCATGGTTGTGCAAAGGCCCTGGGGCAGGAGCAGCAGGAGAGAAGCTGCCCTTCCTGGCTGGAGCGGAGGGAGCAGGGGAGGCGGAGAGGTGGCAGGTGGGTTACGCAAGGCCCTGCAGGCTGCAGGGATAGCAGGCTTTTACCGGAGTGAGCTATTGTCTGCTTCACAGCCCTGTTAACTGCAGAGATTGTTTAAGACTGTTTTGTTTACTTCTGTGTCCAAAGCACTTTAAAGCATCTCGGCAGCGGGTTGAATGGATGGGCTGGATGAATGCTCCCGGGCACGCGCTACACCGTTATTTCTCATCCGTTTCCCTCCACTGCTCCCCAGAACCCTAGGAGGCAGGAGCAGTTAGCTCCTTCTGCAGCCAGGGACAGACAGCAGGGCCCGCGAGCGGGACATTTCTCCCTCTGTCAGGTGGCAGAGCCTGGGCCCCTTTTCCTACTTCCGTGGTGCATGCAAGGCTTGAGCGCCTGCTGTGTACCAGGAGCCAGGCTTGGGGCCAGCACAGGTGGCCCCGGGGCAGGCTGCACCCCCACGGCTCAGAGGACAAAACCAAGGACCGCTCGACTGCCCGAGGCCAGGTCAGGGTCACCGGCCGGGAAGGAGACCAAACAGGCCGTGAGAAGCTGGCGCTGCGCTGGCCGCTGGGAAACTCCAAGCTTAATTTAGGCTCCGTGTTAAATTATTCATCCTCTGCTCTCCGCTCCTCTCCTCTCCTGTTTATGACTTCCGCCTTATCGCTCTCCTCCTTGGGTTAATGCTTTTCTGTTTATCTGCATCTTTGGCCCAGAATGAATGAATCAAGGATTTTGAAGGGGGAAAAAAAAACCCGAATCCTGGTTCGCACCTCGGTGTGTACATTCCGGCCGCTCCTTCGCTCTCCCCTCTTCTTCCTCCTCCTCTCTAGCCCTGCACTTGTTCAAACCACCCTGGAGCCCCAGGCCCCAAATTCGGCAACTTGGGGAAGATAAACGCTCCACAGGCCCAACGCACAGGGCCAGGAGCTGCAGCCTCCTGCGGTGAGTTCAAGTCCCTGCGCAGTCGTTTATTTTCAGGCGCCAAGGACAGTCCAGGCCCACACGGGCTTGCACGTCGCCTCTCAACGATCCCCAGAAGCAGGGCGACCTCTGCCCACTTGTAAAGGGAGTTCCATGCCGCGGTCATCCGGGAACCCGGTCACCTCTTTCTGCATCCAGCCAGTGCACAGTATCCCGGAGGCCCTCTGGAGCCCCACCTGGAGAGACTGCAGACAGCCAATGGCGACGTCGAGGTGCTGGGGTGCCGGGGCCTGGCCCGGAGCGTGCTTCCCGGAGCCCAGGTCACGAGAGCACAAAATGCAAGCAAGGTTAGGGAAAGACCTCAAGGGAAGCACGTCTCCACAGAAGCCAGGCAAGGGCCAAAAGCTGGAGCGAGGTCTCGGAGGTGGTGTCCAGAGCTGGCTTGGTCGCCGCACAGGGGCCCAGGGACACGGTGCTGCGTCTGAACCCACAGCTGCACAGAGGAGGCTGGAGCTTGTCCAGAGGGCACTGGGGAGCCATGGCAGAGTTTAGAGCGGCATATTGCAATTGCCACAGCCTTTGCACCAAGCGACCCGAGGGCTCCCCCGCGGGCAGTGGCCGGAGGGGCCCCCGCGGAGCTGTCCCTGCAGCCCACGTGTCCTGCGAAGCTCCAGCACCCCGCGGCCCACGTGCTCCCGCGTCCCTTTAAATACCCTCAGACCACGTGCCCACACCGCGCCTCCTCATTGGCCGGAGGGAGCGTGGCGACGGCGCGGCTGCGCACTGCCGCGCAGGGGGCGGGTCCCGCCCAGACCCCGCCCAGACCCCGCCCCTCGGCGGCGGCGGCGGAAGGGATGACGTCACCGGCTGGGGGCGCGCGAGCCGCAGTGAGTGTCCTCCGCCGCCCGCCCGCCCGCCCGCCCGGCAGCCCGGCCGGCGCGCGCACGCCGCGAGCCGCTGGCGCTCGGGGCTCCGCTCGGATCTCATGCAACAGCCAGGATGTGAAGCGGGGCAGAGCCGGGGGAGCCCCGCCAGCCAGCCCGCTGCAGGTCAGTGCAGAGATGCAGGAGCCGGCCGAGGTGGGGCGTCCGCCTGCGCGAAGGGGAGAAAGCAAGAGGGACGCGGCGGGTGGGGGTGGCGGCGGGCGGCGCGCGGCTTTGTGCCCGCTCCGGCCATTGTGTCGGGGCGCCGCCGCACCGGGGCGCGCGGCCGGGCTGGGGGCTCCCCGCGGCTGCACCGCTCGCTCGGCGGGGCGCGCGGGCCTCCGGGGTCCTCTCCAGGCGCCCCCCGGGACCCGGCTCCGTGCGCCCTGCGGGAGGGGGCGCCCCGGCCGGCCTCAGCCCTCTACTCGGCGGCGCCCCCTCCCCGCGGCTCCCCTCAGCACCGGCTCCCGGACTCGGGGCGCACGGGGGCGCGCGCCCGGCACCCCACCTCGTCCCGTCCCTGTGCGCGCGCGCGGGGGCTCCGCGGGGATCCCGGGGGACGGGCTGCAGCCCCCCGGCTCTGCGCGGCCCGGAGCCCCCCTCGGTAGCCGGAGGGGAAAGTGGTGACGTCATCCGGGGGCGGGGCGGCTGGATCCGGGTTGTAGGGGGCTGGGGGCGCTCCGGGAGGGGACCCCCCTCCCCGCCCGGCTTGCGGCGCCCGCACCTTGGGCGCGCGGCTTTTGCCAAGTTCGGCGCTCTTTATGGGGATTTCCGAAACGCAGGCTGCCCCCCCCCCGCCCCCCTCAAAGCCGGTGGACTTTTCCCCCCTCCCCCCAAATGTGGGGAACACCCTTCTCCTTTGCCTTTCCAAAACTGTCAAATTGGGGAACCCCACTACCATCACCATAAGCTAGTCTTTTTAAAGACACACCCCCCAAAATCGGGAACCTCCTTATTCACCCCTTTCCCGTCTGAGATCCTCCCCTAGCGGCCCCCCTGAATCTGCGGCATTGGAGAATGCCCCGTTTTCTACAGCTCTTCAAATTCAGCGACCCCCCCCCCCGGGAACCCCTCTTCTGCACCCCTTCTGGAGGCTGTCTCCCGTCCTTGTCTCCTGGCTCAGCCGGGATTCCCGTCACCCCATCTCAGCCTGGGGGGGGGTCCCCCAATCAGAGCATCTCAACTCCCCCCCCCCGAAAAATCTCAGCGTGGACAGAAGGGCTGTAAAGGGGCCTCTGAGACCGGACGGCAGCGTCCAGGCTGAGTACTTGGGCTCCGAGAACCCAGACAAAGCCACGGGGTCCCCCAGGGTCCCCCCAGGACGAGGGGCGCATCCGCTCAGGGCCCCCCTCTGTGTCTGTCCACCTGCACTCTGGCTTCTTAGACTCTGGGCTTTCGGACCCCGCTGCCGCCGTCCCTGGGGTGTGAGGCAGCAGCCTCCCCTGTTTGGGGTGCTCCGTCCCCCCACGGTGCCTGTGCCTCCACTCGGGTGACACCGGCGGCTGTGGCCGAGCTGGGAGCTTTTATTAATGGCCGAGGGACTCAGCATTTGCATAGCGCCCTCCCCAGCGGGGTCCCTTCCTTTGTGCCCCCTCCCCCTGCCGGTCCACTGCCTTCTGTCCCTCGCCTCTCCCCGCCTGTGCCAGCTGATACTTTGGCGATGCCAGGCAGGCAGCTGGGGCTGGGGGTGGCTATTTCCCGCCCCCAAATCTCAGAGCCCACCCGGCCTGGGCCCTGGAGCTGCGCTCAGAGCAGGACCCCCAGCCTCGGGCGACCTCGGGGCGTCCCTACCTCCTGCCTCCTGCCCAAGCTGCCGCCTTCGCTCCTGTGCGTCCCCGGGGCCCAGGGGGCACCTTCACTATGACAGTGCACTTCTGTGTGGTGCCGGCCTCCCCGTCCCCTGGGGGCCGCCACCCGCCCCACCCTCGGTGGCCCTGGGAGTTGGTCTAATTGGGCCCAGGTAAACGCCACGCTCGTCATCACAGGGGACCGGCCTGCCTGGTGAGCTCATGTGCGTTTCTGTCCCTGCCACCCCAGCCAGGGCGATGACATCGGCCCCCCCAGGGGTGACAGGCTGGCACTGTGAGTGGCCATCCCGAGGAGGAGACGCCACCGTCCCCAGAGGCGGCATCCTGGCTGGCACCTGGCTCCTGCGGGACGCGGGGATGGGCACCCGGCACGCTGGGTGTGGCCAGGCTGGGTCCCGAGGTCCCCATGCCTTTGTGCCCCTGACCTTTGCGCGTGGTGCAGAGAAATCTTTTGCCGCCCGCCGGGGTGGCTGAACTGGGCTCTGATTACAGTCGCCTGCTTGACCCATGTGGGGGAGGCGGAGGGCTTTCTGTGTCCCTGCTTCCCGCAGGACTCGGGCGACTCCGGCTGCCCGGTGCCCGCCCTGGTGACCCAGGACCCAGCAGGTCTGGGATGCCGCACGCAGGTCCTGGCAGCTCGGTGGGTCTCAGGCATTTGGTGGGAGCCTCACGCAGTGAGGGGACCCAAGTGTCGCCGTCTCGTCTGCCTGCCTGGTTCCTCTCTGGGTCACACAGAGCCCGCGGCTGCCGGCCGACTTGGACTGCTGGGGGGAGGCGGCAGCTCGGTCTCTGCTCGGCCGCATCCTGCTGGGGTGTGACTTGGTTTCCCTTCCTGCCTCCGGGCTGCCCGCAGTCTCCCGGGGAGACCTGTGGCTTCTCAGGGGACCGCATGGCTGTCGTGATGGCCGGTGCGGTGGCCGGGGACGTGTGTATGGGGGTGACGGTCTTCGGTGACCTGGGAGTCACCTGTCCGCCGTTCTCATGGCCCCGTGGCCCGTGAGGGGGAAGGAGGGGGGCCGAGAGAGTTCAGGATGGGGGAGCCAGGAAGAGAACCCTAAAAATAAAGCCGGGTATTTATAACCCCAGCGGCTGGGGGTAACTGCCAAAGCTCAGGGTTTTCTGTCGCATCCCACACCCCATTGGGCTGCGTTTGTGGCCAGGACCAGAGCCAGGAAGACCCGGAGAGAGACATCGAGGGGCTGGGGCCACGGTGCCAGCTGGGTCATTGCTTGGGGGTCCCCTGCAGGCCCGGGACTGGGGGTGCTGCGCAGCGTCCCCCTCCTGGAAGCACACTGTGCCTTTGTCCTTTCTCGTCCTTCCTGGGACAGAGGACACGGGTGGGGAGCAGAAGGGTCCCCAGCCCTCTCCGGGCTCCCGTGGGCCCAGCTGAAGCAGCACCCGCCCCTGCGTTGGGGGACCCAGATTAAGGGCGCGTCTGGGGCACAGGATCGGGTTCCAGCGTGGAGGCCCCGGGTCGGGGTGCGAATGTGGTGATTCTGTCACCAGGGGCCACTTTGAGGTCCAGAATTAGGGCCTGGGACCCCCCGAGGGGATTCAGTCGGGGTGGGCACGGGAAGCGTTGCCCTTGCTCTGAGAACCACAGCCCGGGAGGCCGGTCCCGGTGCCCACGCACGGTGTGCCCTGCGACATGCGGCGTCTCTGACCACTCAAGGGTGCCCAGTGTCCTGTGTGGCTCTCTGCCCTCGCCCACTCCTGTTCTTGCAATCCTGGGACCCGAACCCGGGTCTCGGCACGGAGCTCAGCCCAGGCCCGCTTTGTGTTTGGAGGGTCCTGCCGCGTCTCAGTGTTCCAGACCCTCCTGCCTCAGCCTCGCTCAGCACTGCAGAGCGCGGGCTGCACCCCCACAGCCGGCCCCCCTTTCCGGGAGCGGCGAGGAGCCAGGCCGGGCAGTGATCCGGGCACACGAGGGGGCTGGGCGCCTGCCTGGCACCCGCAGAGTTCATTCCCAGAGCCGCGGAAAAAGCAGACAGAAAGGAAGAGAGAGAGCACCGTGGCTGTCTGTCCGGCCGGTATTTCAGAGGTGCTGGGGGCTCGCGGGGGGACAGGGAGACGTCTAAAGGTGCAGATGAACCCGCGGAGAGCTCAGTGACTCCGTGACTCAGGCTGGCTCTCGGCTTGCGTTATTTTTGTCTTTTTCTCTCTGTTTTCTGCCTCTCCTCTCCTCTCCTCTCCTCTCCTCTCCTCTCCTCTCCTCTCCTCTCCTCTCCTCTCCTCTCCTCTCCTCTCCTCTCCTCTCCTCTCCTCTCCTCTCTCTCCTCTCCTCTCCTCTCCTCTCCTCTCCTCTCCTCTCCTCTCCTCTCCTCTCCTCTCCTCTCCTCTCCTCTCCTCTCCTCTCCTCTCTCTCCTCTCCTCTCCTCTCCTCTCCTCCCCTCCCCTCCCCTCCCCTCCCCTCTCCTCTCCTCTCCTCTCCTCTCCTCTCCTCTCCTCTCCTCTCCTCTCCTCCCCTCCCCTCCCCTCCCCTCCCCCCCCCTCCTCTCCTCTCCTCTCCTCACCTCTCCTCTCTCGCCCCTCCTCCTCCTCCTCCTCCTCCTCCTCCTCCTCCTCCTCCTCCCCCTCCGTGTGCTGCTGCCCCCCGCCAGGCTGGACCTGCGGCCTCGCTGCTGTTCTGGGGTGCAGTGGAGTCTCCCCCTCCCTCCTCCGGGTCCAGGAGCCCCCCGGATTCCGGATCCTAAAAAGAAAAGTAAAAAACCGGGCTCCCTCCCTCCCGACGGGGCCCGGAGCTGGGGTGTGGGGTCCCCGGCCCCTTCCCGTGATGCCCGCCCGCCGCGTCCTCACAGGGCCCTTCTGCAAAGGGAGGACTGTGCCCCTCACAGGCCGAGTGCTGCCGCGTGGCCCCTGCCACTGTGGAGTTTTATTTTTATCTTGGTTTATTTTATTTTTGTCTTTGTTATTCACCTGTTGTAGGAAAACCAGGCCTTTTCTTTTTTCCCTTTTTTTCTTGTTTTGAGGCAGGTCCAGGGTGTAGCAGGCTGGCCTTGATCTGCCTGTTAGCCCAGCCCGGCCTTGAACTCCTGGCGACCCTCCTGCCTCAGCCTCCCAGTGCTGGCACACCACACCCCCAGTTTTCTGACCTGTTTCTGTCCTCCCTTCCTGTCTGTCTCCTCCGCTCTGTCCTTGTCTGCAGAGCAGCACCCTGCTGGGAAGGTGGGGACACCTGCAGCCCCACGCAGCGCTCGGCAGCCCGGGTCAGGGTCGGCCTCGCTGGGCTCTGCCTTGGCCGTGAAGGGCACCCCCGGCCTGGCTGCGAGCCGGGCCCCGAGCCGGGTCCTGCACCTCTCTGCACCCCGGGGGCCTCCT